GTGTCAAATGACTTAGAATTATGCGCTCAAATGATGTCTTCAAAGTAAACGTCGTTCCAATAGTATCTTGTTTGCCTTGAAGAGTCTGCGAGACTGTTTCAAACCTTCACAGTAGAGGACGATTGTGAAAATGTCCTATCATTTTCTTTATAGTCTCGTAGCAATTTGTTCCTACCACTCGAATGGTACCGTAAAGAAAAGCGCGGAAGGAATGTGACCACGCGTGCAAGAGAGCAAATGTGCCGTCCACTGAGCAAACTTCAACGACGCGACTAGAGCCGATTCTGTGTACCAACTAGGCGTAGTATATCACTCTTGCATAATAAATCCTCACAAAGTGCAGCAAACTTGCGGACTATTTTCTTGCACTCTGCAGCTCAAGCATCCGGTATATCTAATCTATATCCACTGACCATTTGCATTTTGCAAACAAAGTACATAAATTCAGTGATGAGACTCTCTCGCATTCTTGCTATACTATAGCTCAACAACTGGCACATATCCAACTGCGCAGACATCACAAGTCGCATAATGCGTCATAAGCGTGTCAGATTTCGTTGAGGTCTTCCACACTCACAGCTGGCATCTGTTAAAGGTAGTAATAGCGGTGGGATTGCACATCGCTCCTGGACCGGTCTGACCAGATCAGGGCCTAAGTGGCTCTGTGCGCAAGAATTTCGCAACATCAACTGCGCGTTGATGACGAAATCCAGCAAGCAGACAAGTCTATGCGAGGAGGCTTCTCAGTGACGTGTTGCCGCTTGTGGCAAACAGCCAACCAAAATCACTCATTAAATCTTTTCGCCCCTAAGCCTTGCGATGACGAGATCAGCAAAGGGATGCTTTATAACCAGCTGCCGACGAGATTCAATGCATTGGGTGCAAACCCATCTGGCGAAAGAAGCCAATTTCGGCTATTCATTTCCACTGGATGAGTAGAGCGAAACGCGCTATGGGCGCTGCCGATTCTCGCTGTCCTATTAGCAATCGCTACTGGCGAATTTCGTTGATTTCGACCAACAAGCGCGATTAAGGCCATAGATTCGTGGACCCCTAGAAATAGCCGAGTTCGCGGCCATTGCAGCAGACAAGTGGCCGGGGGAGGCCCGGCTGGTGGTGGCGCGCATCTTGGCTTGACCGGTAAACAACCGAGTTAAGGTCAACGGTCGAGACGTTGCAATTCAAGTATCTTGATATGTGCGAGAATCTTTATGACAAAAATTTTCCATGCCAGAGTCAAGTCTACTAATACGTGGCCAACTTTAGCCGCTACAACAAGCACTTTTGAAGACATACAAAAAGGCGAATTTGTTGACTTGGCATAAAGCGAACATTCGCCTCCAGTTCAATTAGCGTTTCCACGCAAAAACACCTTACCTGGCCGTGCGCCAGTCTTCAGACTTTCATGATAGAGCATAATGAAGTCTGAGGTTGAGATTCGGCTAGTTTTCCCTTCCCATATTTGTTTTTTCTCCAAAGTAAAAGTGCCTCAAATGCTGGCCAGTAACTGCGTTGACAAAACAGCCTGAGTAGTCAGGTCACTTCAGCAGCTTGTTTACTGTGTCCGGTACGCGGTCGGGGGCCACCAGCTCGCCTCGTTCATTCGGGTCAAAAGCGAGTGTCACGTGGTGCCTCCTCCTCAATTCCTCGCGCAGACGAGGTCAACGCGCGGGAAAGTGGCCACGATTTGGCTCGCAGCCAAGCAATGCAGTCTGTTCTGGCGAATCGCCAATACCAACACACCCTCATCTCGCGCAACTTGAAAGGAATGCAAGACGGGCTAGGCTGTGCAGCGGCGGTGACCGATTTATTTGCGCTGCGTCGCGTTCTCCCACTTGTTGGTGCCAGCTAAGGTAGGGCGACAAATTTCGTGAAACAACTTCCGTGCACATACCAGTGGTCGGAAAGGACGATTCGTGTGATCGCAGATGCCGAACCGACGGTGCAGCAGTGACCGCGAAGCGGCAGAAAGACCTTGGTACCAGTCAAGACGACTGGGGCGATCGCCAAATTGATTACTGCGGTATTCCGACCAGCGGAGATGACCTCCCATACTTCGTCAAGATTACGAGAACGACGTCTTTTACTAATGTGTACGCGAACATAATGTTGAATCGCAGCATCTCTCAACTCAATTTTCGGAACGAAACAAGTTCAAACATAAGAACTTCAGTCTAAGAAGGTTCAACCGTTTTTCTACCTCTTCAAACGCTGTGACTATCAAACTGGAAGCTTACAGAGAAGAGGAGTGGCGCCGGAGCGACGCCAATGAATAAGTACACACCCTCAGCAAAAGGCATATGACTATTTGGGTGATGATGGACTGATAGATAGGAGGGAGTAACGATAAGCGCACCGCGCTCGCAGTTGGCATTATAAACTGAAGTGGCGAAGAGATACGAAAAAACTAACCTTCAAAGTCAGTATATGGACCTTCTTTGTGAAAAGCGCCTGATCCGAAGTCGATCAACTTGACAAGACCGTTTTTCATGTCGACTACGAGATTTTCGTCCTTTATGTCGCGATGAATGACATTTACACGATAGCACGCGAGCACTGTGTCGACCACCTATACAGCAGAGATTCACTAATGCAAAATAAAAAGAATGTCGCAATCACAACGAAAAAGCATGGCTATGCAGAAAGAAGAAAATTTGGGCAACACGAACCTGACGGAAGTAGTCACGCGCGACACTTTCAGTGAGGGCGCCTTTTTCGGAAATGTAGTCGAACAGGTCAGTAGATGGACTTGGCCGTTCCATAACTATCATATAACCATCAGGGCGTTCAAACCAATCGATTGTTTGGATCACACCGGGAATTCCTCGGCAACGCATCAAAAGCACAATTTCCAGCGGAACCATTCGGCCATCCATCTGTAATGGGAATATGAATTAGATCTAGATCTATAAACCTAAATTTCTTTCCAATGTTTTCCTAGTTGCATGTATGATGTAAGCCTAATGTCAGCTGATTGCATGCACATCAATGATGTCGAACATGTTGCTAGTGGTGCAGCTACTGCTGCCTACATACAAACGCACAACGCCCCTCTGGGCATACACACGCGCACAACACACGGAAACTCGAATCACGTGAGCGCCACAACGTCACCTCCTGTCGGCAATAAACAAGCGAATCGAACACACAACTCTTTCATTGAGAAAAAGAATGAGACGAGGAACTTACACAAGCCCATTCGGTTACATTCGAACGCATTACATATTTGCAAGCGACCGTCAGATTATCGGACATTCGAAATCCACAGTAAACGGTGCCAAAACCGCCGCGTCCAAGTTCAGCGCCAAGTTTATACTGGCGTTTGAAGTTCGCGTAGTCATGTGCTGAAATAGGTTAAT